TTAATTGTAATTTATTGCATTTTTATTTTCAAATTTAGTATTTAATTTACACATGAAACACAAACATTATACATATTTATGGGGTATCATTTAAAATTTTACTAAATGTGTGCATGGCCTGATGTTTGAACTCGTTTAATTATATCAATCTCCTCAAAAATTGGAAACCTGTACAGATTCCACCCCTACCTCCCCTTCCACTTTCCCAGCCTCTTTTAAGCATCATTATACTTATTCTCAACTTCTGTGAGTTTAACTTATTATTTATGCCAGATATGAGTGAGATCATGGTTTACTTGTTTTACTTTATCTGATTTCTTTATGAGAACAATTATAAAATGATCGGTATTGATGTTATCCACGTATCATATAGCCACCACATTCCCTATATCACATTGGTTTAGTTTTTCATTATACAGATTTTCTGTTTCAGTAGTCAAATTAATAAATATTTATCAAATTATTGTTTATGAGATACCATTCTGGCTGCTGTGGCACTGAGTATAAGCAAATAACCTATGGCTCCTTTTTTTTTTTGGTACTGGGGATTATGGCTCTTATTTTCTTATTCTATTGGAATTTATGATCATATTAGGTAGAGAAGAATAAAATAAATACACAAATGATGCTGAATTCCTGAGAAAAGGGCTATAAGTCAAGATTTTAGCACATTATGAGATATTTGTATATGCTCGTCAACACTCTTAAATCCCTCAGGATTTTGCATAGAGTAAATATTTATTATTTTGCCCTTATTTTAAAAATGTTTAGATCATATGATGAGGCTCACTTTCTTGGTATTGTTTGTTCACTAGCTTGTTGAATCTGTTTCTCAATTAGTGAGAAACTGAGTTCTTAGAAAATCTTAGCATAAACCAACACAGGTCTGTGAATCATTAATCTAATTTTTCTAATATACTTTACATAAATCCTTTCTAAGATGACACTATCTAACCTTTAATTAAAAGTATGAACTAAATATTGTATATAGGGAGGGGTGGAGAGGTTGAAGGGAGGGCAGGGGAATGGAAAAAAAAACAAGAACCAAGATACATCATGTAAAGGTACAAGTTCCCAAAGATGAATGTAATTATATTGTATACCCACAATGTACCAATAAACTTAATTTTCAAAAAGTATGAACAATATGTGTCTAGGTTATTATTTATAAAGAGAAGAGACTTTTTAATTAAATCAAAGTATATAACAGATTCTAGAAGTCATTATATTGCTTTCAAAATTTGGAGGCATGAAACAGGTTTCCTCATGCTTAAAAAACAGTATACTTAGGCCAGGGATTTAGCTCAGTGGTTCTGCCACCTGCTTTGTAAGCGCTAGGTTCAGAGTTCCATCCCCGGTACAAAAAACCCCCCAAACAAACAAACAAAAAATATACTTAGTACAGGAGCTATAAGTCTTATTTCATCATTTAGTCAATCAATCACTATCATTTTGGAAGAATAACATGGTTGAATTTTACCCTGCTTACACTTTATTTGATAGAGTAATTTCATTAATTTTTACTCTGCTTTGAGGGACAACCTTTCTGAATATAGCTTTCATTCTGGACCATTTTGTCTGCAATTAATAATTATATATTTATAATATAGATTGTATATAATATTAAATATTTATAATAATTATATATTTATGAAAATATACAAGTCTGCAAAATAGACTGTTGTAAAATTGTGCCTTTTGCATTGAAATTTCAATTTTTTTGTTTTCATTTGCACATTTGTCTGCTTATCTAATGGACAGGGTTGAACAATGGTCTTTATGAAATAAATCTATTTTTTAATTAATACAATATTCCTATGTTTTTCATAACAGAGACTTTGTCATGTTGATACTGTTATCTAATTTGACAGCGATTTTAAATATGTGATTAATGTTTTTACTTATCAGTATTGCTGCCTCTTTTAATATATTGCAGCAAATATATTGTGGAATGTAATTACTTATCAGACATTAATTATGTAATCTTCTTTAATCCACCAATCTTAATTCATTTTTTGAATTAAAGTATTTATGGATTGGTTTCTTAGGCTTTAAAATTTCAACTGTTATTGAAACATTACTCTGATTATCTTTGGGAGAATTCCCTCATAGTGCTCTGGATAGGGAGAGATTTTACACTTATGTAATTGTGTCTCTTAGGAGCACCAAGACAAGAGAAAGCGGCTTATTCTATGGAAAAATTACTAAAATAAGGGATCTGTCACAATGCAATCTTAACTTTTCCAAATTATCATTTTCATTGCTTTTCCAGATTGCCAATTCCACTACACAATACTCCCTGATCATGTAAAGGTTTCCCTATTCTCTGTCTTGCCCTTTCATGGCTAAGTACATCTTGTATTTCATTATATATGTCAGATTTTCCAGCATCCCTATTTTGATCAATCCTCCTCTCAACTTCCTCAATAACTAATTATCCTCTTTTCACACTCCTCTTGACTATTATACTTATATAAATTGTAAGTATATTTGGGAAATATAGAGAAGTTAGAATAGTAACTTGTGCCTTCTTGCCCTCAGGCACATACTGTTTCCCATGGAGCTAGGGAATGTCAAGTCTTACTACAAATATACATGCACTGGTGCTATTTTAGTTCTTCACCTATCAACGACAGTCAATAATGATGGTAACTATGGCACGAAGAAAGGAGGGAGAACTTACCTGAGGTCTTGGGAGGGTTCTGCTCTGATGTGGGGAGTCTCCACAGAATGCCCAAATACTGCTCCCTCAGTGCCTACAGGCAGCATGAAAACAACAATCAGAAGAAGCAAGTCCAGAGACACACCGGGTTGCATTTCTCTATTTATGCATCAAATATTCTTCTCTAAATGGGTAAACTGGAACCAGGAGTAGAGAAGATAAAATAGAAACACTGGAAGGGAAGAAGAGTTCAAGTAGCAAAGAGCTAAAGACAGTAAATCTAAAAGTCACTGTTAATTGCCTTTAAGATTACATTGTCATTTCAGATTGACAAAGAGCTTCCACTTTCTGATCAAACATCAAAGAGCTCTCTACTTTTCCTGCCTTATTTTCCAGTTAGGTGAATTTGAGGGAGGGAAAGGTCCCAATATTGATTTCTGCTTTTCTACAAAGAGCAAAGCATAAATGAAAATGTGGAGGGTAATCTCTAGTCCAGCATATTACTAGTTACTTAAAGGTAGGTTTCATATGGTGCTTAGCAGTTCTCTTACATATAGCTTCATAGTGATCATCAAACAGCAGAGAACATGTCACATTACATTGCCCTCTCTGGAGTTTATCTCAAACTATGAACAACTTCAGTTCATTTCATTGTAGTTGAATTCATATGGGGCCATAGCAGTCTGAAGAGTTCCTGCACTCTACCATCTTCCTTGATCAGTTGAGTGACACTCAGTTTAAACTTGCACTTACTGACTCTATTTGATTTTCCAGACTCCTAGAAGCTATCTGTAATTTAAGTGAGAAAAGGTGGAATGTTTTTCTCCTTAAAAATAAAATGAAAAACTTTTCTTTTAAAAAGACTATGATAACAAACCTTTAAAAAATAATTCATATAAATGTGTTAGAGCCACTGTAATTCCATTTGATGGATAAACCATTTTGCTTATCTGTCATCCATCAGTAGACACTTGGGTTATTTCTGTATTTTAGCTGTTGTTATTAATGCTGCTGTGAAGATGGATGTGGAAATATCTCTTCAAGACTGTGCTTTCAGTTATTTTAAAAGTATACCCAGAAGCAAAATTGTTGCATCACATGATAATTCTGTGCTTCAATTTTGAGGAACCACCACACCATTTTACATGGTAGCTGCACCATTGTGGATCCTCACAAATAGCACACAAGAGCCCAGCTTCCCTACATCTTCAGCCATGGTTAGGTCATGGTTTCTTCCTTTCAATGATAGCCATCCTAAAGGGTATGAAATGGTATCTCATTATAGTTGTAAGATCCATTTTCTTAATGATTAAAGATGTAGAGCATCTTTTCATTTGCTTCTTAGATGTTTACACATCTTTGAAGAAATGTCTCTTTAGGTCCTTTGGCCAATTTTGAATATTTGGTGTATATATATATATATATATATATATGATGTTAATGTATATGCTGGATATTATATGTTCTGGAAATCAGTCTTTTTTCACATATATGACTTGAAAACATAGTTTCTCATTTTACGATTTTCCTCTATGCTGTTGATACTGTGACCTATCAAATATTAAATTTTAAATATTAAAAAAGTCTTAGAACATTTTCTTTAGATTAAACTTGGTTTTCTGTTTTATCTAATATTCTTGAAATATCTTCTTGTAAAAATGTTATGTCTTTTCCACAAATGTCTTTCATACTATTTTAATAATTAAATGAAATTCAAAACTATAAATTTAAACCTATAAAACAAATATAGTATTGCTTAATATAAGGAATATATAAACTATATTAATTCAATAAGCATTCATGAAATTGCTATTAGGAGATTAGAGCCCACATTTCAAATTTCTTAAACATAATTGTCTATATAGAAAAATGTATTATAATGACCTGATGATTTATTTGAATAATATAGGGCAGTATTTCCACAAGTGAATGCAATCATTTTTTTTAATGCAATCATTCTGCATTGCAAATGTGTGCTAAAAAAATGTTAAAAAATATATCTGTGGGCATAAAGAAATAATATAAAAGAGCACAAACCTTAATCTTGAGTGGCAGAGGAAGAGATCTTTTTTTCCAAAGACTATGACATAATTTTATCTATATTATAGTTCTAAGAGAAAAATTATAAAGTTCTGTCACAGTCAATCCTTAAGGTTACAGATTTAATTTTGTAACCTAAAAGCTACAGGCTTTTGTTGACCTTTCACTGGGTTTTAGTATCTTTTTTTTTCCTAAGAAGCTCTGAAGAGCATACAGTGCTTATTCTTTTAATTATTTAACAAATTCGAAATGATTTTCTAAGGGTTTTGCCCTTTTGAAATTTTTATTAGATACTTTACTTCTATAAGTGGAAAATTCCTTAAAATAGGTCTTTAAGTGTAAAATAGTAATTTTAGGAAAAGTTCTAAGTCTGTGATTATGCTGGTGGTGACATTTGAAAGAATTTTCTAATATATAAAACTGCATATCTCAAACAGAAAGGCTTTAACATTTTAATATAAAATACAATATCCACATATGATAGTCATCCACGTGCAAAGTTTATAAACTGGTTTCCACCATTGTATGATTATGATAATTTCACAGATAAGGGGATTACAGTAATCAATGAACAGTGACAATATTTTCAAACAGACTGTCACACATACTGATTTTGGGAAAAATATATTGGTGAGAAAGAAACTAGAATGTCCTCAAAAGTTTAATATTTCAGTGAAGACTAAGAAGTTATTGAGGTCATAATTCTATGTTTTAATATTGGAAAATATTAATAACTTAAAAATTCTTGAGGAATTAAATCTATAATATCATCACCTCTGAGGCTCAACTGAATAAGTTACCATAAATAACTAAGTAAACATAGGCTTCTAGGCAATGAGAAACTTACTCTCACTCTTTTTATTGAGCCCAAATTACCAAAAATTAATAAATCTTAAAGATGTTCTTAAAGGGTAGAGAAAAAACCTACATGAAACAGATATGTACTTTAACAGCATAAAAAATTCAGAAGTCAAAAATAAATTTCCCATGAATTAAGAATTTTTGAAAATGTCATACCATTAGGCTTGCCAGCTTTGACAAATAAAAACATAGGACAATGGGGCAATTTGAAATTTCAGATAATCATCAAATCATTTCGAGTGTAAGTATGCAATATCTGCGGGACATACATTAAAATAATTTGATTATTCAAATAAAATAAAACTGAATTCAAATAAATTCCAAATTAGTTGAGCACTGTATACTATATCTGGTATTCCTAACAACTGCTCAATATTCATTTTCTACAGACTGCAGAACTGATCCATCCTCTCTTCAAGAAAAGACTGTGTCACAAAATCTGACATGGTAAACTATAGAAACCATGGATACCAAAGAGAAACACAGGCATAAAATAGATAAAAATAGCAGATATTTGTTAATATGTGCATTTAAATTTGAATAAATTATTGTTTTCATTGTTATTGTACAGTGGTATATTCTTCTGTACTGTATTGAAAAAAGAGAAATGGATTGTGATTCTACTTTATATTTTAAAATACTTGAACACATTAACAGGATGCTGTGCTTTAAAAATCTCCAATGAAAATCGGGGAAAAAGCACTAATGTACATGAAAAAGCACTAATGTACTTTAAAAAGCAATAAGTAAAAGTAAAATATTAGTGTAAGTATCCCTCATGACGTGACTACATGTATTTTAAATAGAATCAGTATGGTAAATCTATACTCTGATGTCCTAACCACTCCTTATCAACTCATTGACATTCATATATACTTATGGAAGTAATTTTTCCCCTAAGAACTAGCACACGTGCACACACACACACACACACACACACACACACACACACCAGAGAGAAAAGACACAGACAAGGGAACAAAGAAAGCAAGAAAGGCTGAGATACTTCACATTGGAAGAAAGAAGGCTAAATAGGATAAAGGACATCAAAATTTGACTTTTAAAATGTTGTATTTGTACTATTTTCAAGATGAAAACTAGTAGCCTTTAGTTTTTCAATAAATTGAATCATGATCATGAATATTTATGACTTTGTGTGTGGTAATGGGAGAGAAGGAAATCGCTTTCACATATATGTCAGTATGGTACTGTACAGATTCTTTTAAGAGAGGGATTCAGAACCCACATATCAAAAGAAGTTAACAGAACATAAGAAATTTTCCTCCCAGCCCCTCTCTCATGACAATTCACAAGAACCTTAGCATTGTAAATTTCAAATCTAGAATAAGGATGAAGACCAGGGCAAATTTATCAAGACTCAAGGGGCAGAAGATTTCTGTTTATTCATTATCTTCACATTTGAACCTGCATTAATTAGTGAATGTATTCAACTGGTTTAGGAAGTCTGCATACCACAACCCACCCATTTATATCCGTTTCCCCCAAATTTAAATTTTTCAAGTCACAGATTAGACTGTGAACCCTATCACTCTATACTCAGATCTCCTCTCATTTTTTTTTTTTTTGACAAATAATTAAATCCTCTGGTTCTTGTTTGCAAAGCAATGTTCTAAATAAAGCTATCTCTATTTAATTTAACAGTTAAATTACATGACTTTCCAACATGTGAAAATGCATATATTATAAATCTTCTCATTACTCCTCAAATACAAGTGGAAATAAATTTGGTCCTGCAAATGAACAGAAAATAAATTATTTTGGGATATGGATGGAAGAATTATAGGAAAATTCATTAATGTCATTTCTATTACTTCATTAGAAAGAGTTCTTCTAAGTTAAAAAAGCATCATTGCACTTTAAACAAAGAAACATTAATGAATTCCAACATATTCTATAACTTAGTTGTATTAATTTAGTAGTAGAAATAGTGTTCTTGCTTCCAGCTGACTTCTGAATATAAAAACTGTGCAGTGCTCCAGTAAACTCACCAAACCTATTGACATCTCCCCTATACACAAATTCTAGAATTATTTTCATAAACACTACTTTGCCCAGCCTTTAATACTTTGGTAATCTGATAGCATCCATCACCTGAGTCCTCTTCTACTCATCTATGAGACATGTTTATTAATTTCCTTACCTCTTATGAAAAATGTGGGCTTATCATTGTCT